TAGCGAAGTTTTTTTTTTTTTTTTGGGGGCAAGACGGCCTTTACTAAATTTAACTAAACTATACCTAAATTTACTTAAATGTTAGCGAAGCTCGTTTAAAAAAAAAATTGGGAGCTTGGGCCCTTGGAAAAAAGAAAAAAAATTTTGGTTAATTTTTGAGGTGTGCCTCCTTGCGCCAAGAGGACCGCTTTGCCCCACCCTGCCCTATTAATTAAAACTATGTTAAAACCGCGAACCTGAATTTGGCTTATAACATTCCTGCAAAGAAAAACAACTGCATCGCGTTACATATTACTTACTAATAATTAAATGCACCGCCTATGCAAATCTCAAACAGTTCATTTTCGCTTAAAAAAATATAAATTATTCAACATCCTGCAATGTTAAGGTAATCCACCTTGACCGTTAGTATTTAAATGCAGGAAAAAAGTAAAAGTTTATAATAAAATCCCGCGACAAAAAATAGAAAAAATATTGTTTTTTACTACAGAGATTATGCCATTTTTAATGAGGCTCCTTATGTAACGTACTATAAAATAAAATTATATTCTTGTATCTCTTCTTGCATTAATTGCCACTGGAAAAATATAAATATACTTATTTCCTGCTTTTAGTATACCTATTTCGATACCGATTATTTTACGTAAATGTTTTTATTAACACGTCAATTGATGATCTGCTAAACTTTTTAGAGTATATTTATACAACTTTGTGAAGCTCGAGTTCTGCTTTTTTTCATTTATCTGATGTTAATAATTTTTTCTACTTCCGTTTGTAAAATACCTAATTACGCACCGATCTAGCGTGCGGGAAGCGTCACTTTACCACGTCAGTGTCGTTTCCCACGAATCCGAACCACTTCGGACATTTCCGGGATTTTACCGCACGGGTTTGGGAGCAATCGGATGTTTTCGGAGATATTTTCCACGCTTTGCATTTTGACGTTTGTCAATTCTAACTGACACGTCAGTGAATGTATTCGTGTTGTTTTGCTAAAATGTACAAAAAAAAAATAACCGTCGTAGAAAAACTATAATATGCAACACGTTCGGTAAACGTAAACTCGTGAGCCAAATGCCGTTTACCGCACTTGTTGCATAATATACTATTTTCTACTTCCTTCCTTAAAATACCTAATTATACTCTGATCTAGCGTGCGGAAAGCGCCACTTTAACATTTCCGGGATATTACCGAAAGGGCTTGGGAGCAATCGGATGTTTTCCGCACTGCTTGAATTTTAACGTTTGTGTTTGGTAAACTTTTAAGTCACTCTTTTATTAACCACTCGCTCCGCTATGCTCCATTCGTGCCAAATAAGCTAGTGACTTTACCACAGCTAGCACAGTTGTAGCATAGTATACTATTCGAAAACGTTTATGGCATTGTGACGAGCGAGCCAGGGACTTGCAGGAATTGAATCGGAAAGTTGCTCAATCCCTATCGCTAGCAGTGGCTGCGCTCTATAAAAGCGAAGCGATGCTCGCTGGATAGGTTACTTGAAATTTGAAACAGTGCAGGGCGGAGATAAAAATAGTCAACTGACATTAACAGAGTTATATAAATTATTAGTAGCTTGTATAGAGAATAGTAGTGTGCAAATACTCATAAAAAAGTTGTTATATTTTATAAAAGATGTTGTCGAATACCACCTGGATATGAGGTGAATTTTATTGCATTGAAGAAATCAGCGAATATTTTTAAATCAGAGTTCACGTGGGCTTTTTCTGACAAGCCGTTTTTAATATTATTAGAAATTACATAGTCATGTTCGGTATTTTATTTTAAATCCACTATCCCACCTGTTTTAAAATTCTTTTCATAACAACTAAAATATATAAATATATTGAACATATTTATTTGGCTGAGGTTAAATTATGATCCACGCCAACGAATGGAAGATTGTAACATAATTTAAAAAGAGCCGGCTGCCAGGTGGAGGCAGTGATCGGGGAGCGGGAGACGCGGTAGCGGTTCCCTGGGGAACTCCTCGTCGCCCACCGCCGACCTCGGCGGGCAGCCATTTAGTTGACCTTGCTAAACTTGACCTTGTTTTATTTTAAAAGTGCACGTATACACATTCTATCGACGGTAAATCGGCTGGAGTTTTTCTTATGCTCTAGGTTATGAGTGTGTAATGATTTTCTGAGGGTTAAAACTGCAAACTCAGACGAGAATTGGATTAGGTTCAGGAGCGTAGCGTGTGGCCCTAGGGTAATCAGAATTTTACAATAAATATTATAATTCCCAGCTGCATAATGTATTTCTTCAGATCAGTCTCCAATCAAATTCACTAGCGTAGTTTATAATGCCCACTAGATTGCACTCGAGATATAGAGTCCCTGCCTAATAAAGATAATAGAGGAACTTATGAAGTAACTATGAAAAAACATTGAGAAGGTCTCCTTTAGCATACGCAGGTGCGAGATTTAAAATCTCCCTTTTAACAATAACTGGGCCTCTGGCAGATCGTTAATTGTTCTCTATATCGCTGTTTAGAACGAAAATGGAGCAAAGTGCAGGTTAGTGGGTGAAATGTAGAAGCATGCGCGAAAAATCAATACCTCTTAAACTAATAATCGTAGAAAAAGTATAGTATGCAACATGTTTACTTATAGTACACTATGCAGCAAGTGTGAAGCGGGATTGGAGTCATTTAGCACGAGCGGAGCGAGTGTTTAACAAAAGCGTGACTTAAAAAATTTACCAAACGTTGCATATTTTACTGTTTCTACGGTCGTTAGTTTTTGGGTACATTTTTGGAAAACAACAAGAATACATGCATTGACATGACCGTCAGAATTGACGAAAGTCAAAATTCAAGCCATGTGGTAATATCTCCAAAACCATCCGATTGCTCCCAAACCCGTGCGGTAATATCTAGGAAATGTCCGAAGTGACTCAGATTCGGGGAACACACAACTGACGTGGTAAAATGACCCTAGATCGGTCTATAATTAGATATTTTACAGAAGAGACTAGAAAAACCTCACCAGTTAATTTAGCACGTGCGGTGTGTAGCGGAGCGAGTATTCAGTAAACAAATGCCGTTTACCAGACTTACATTATATATTATATTCTACTGGAAAATGGTCAATTTACCACGTCAGTTTCTTTTCTCACAGTCATCTCAGTGAACGTATTCGTGTTGTTTTGCAAAAATCTACATAAAAACTAATGGTTGAAGGAAAAGTATGGTATGAAACACGTTTGGTAAACTTTTTAAGTGTATTATTTATTATATTATTTATATTTTCGTTTAATAATTCTGCTGTAATTACTTAAAAAAAAATTCGAAGCGAGCCTTTCGAAACATGAATTGCTTAGAGTCGTAAATGCTTACAGAGTTCGTAGAGCTAGAAAGTGTTATTAACTGAAAGTGTCGGTATTTAGAGAATAAGAATTGTTTTTTTGCTTTTAATATTGTAATTTTAAAATTGACAATTTTCATGTAGACCTTTTGAAAGTGTGTAAGTACTACTGTAAGTACTACTGTACATTAATTTCATAAATTCATGTTTATGGCTGTCAAACATTTTGAATTAAACTTGCTTCTAACTTGAAAAAGGTAGTCCATTACCAATTGTTAGAGCTGCAAAAGTACATAATTATATGGGCCATAACTCACTTATTAAGACGACGTCAAAGCGTCGTCACTGGTGGCCGTCAAAAGAGACTCAAGTGCTACAACCCAAGTCCACTGCTCATCGTAAGTCTATCTTTCGTTAGTAAATTGAGATTGATCCTGAAAATAATTTGCTCTCGGTAGGAAGGCTGTGTTGAAGTTTACGCAGAGGTTAACAAATAAGTTTTCATCGCACAGCCAATCGCATAGATCGCACCTGTTCGCGCGGTGACCTCATCCATTTATCTTCGCCTTTTTTTTCTCGAAATCGTTTCTCCCGCGCAGGGCCCCCACGGCCCCTTGTGCTGCGCCCCCCTTTTACCGTTCCCAGTATCAGTCCCGCAATAACAATAAATGTCGTTTATCGCGATAAATTCAAGGTCGGACCTTGAACGATAACGATGAAATTTTACGTAATCGTCGTTGTCGATCGTAAACAAGGATGTGGTGGGAATTTTTTCGGTTACCGGGCGATGCGGATATGTGGCGAGGTTTCCGATGAATGTCGCGCAATAATCAAAGAAATGTAATTTGTCGTCCTTTATTGCTGTACCAGCGATCCAGAAATTTGAAAAAAAAAAAACAATTCATCTCCCAAAAGATAACGGTGGAATTTATTATCGAGTGGTGGAAAAAATTTCTAGTGTTAACCACAGGGACCTTAGGAAATTGGTTGTATACTAATAGATTAAAAATTAAGCACTTAAGCAAAAAAATAACCAAATATAAAATGTAAAGATAAATATTAATAATGCACCTTTAGGCCAAGTAAATAATGTTAGATATTGAGGGATTAACCCCAAATAGCACAAGGACTTCCATGAAACGTCCTCGGGATATCTGACGAGACATAGCGTATATCCTAGGGAAATACTGTTTCAGCTAAGGGACATCTTTAAGACGTCTCGATGTTAATAATTGGAACGTCCACAGTATGTTAGATACGTATATCCTTAGGATGTTTGTTAGGACATACTAATAATATCCAGTTATACTAGTTGAGACGTCGTTAGTATATCCGACCGTGAGGATATAGGATCTAATATCGGTATACCAGTGGTCCTTACTTATTAGGTTATTTCCAACAGATTATGAGAAATACTGGAAAGATAATGTCCAGTAGTCAAATTGGTTGTATAACTACCCAAATTATATCCCGGTAGTATTTGGTACTCGCGTGTGATGGAATTAACCTACTGGGTATGATTGGTGAAATCATCACTGCAATAGCAGGCGATATTTGAAATGCACAAGTTTTTTCCAATAAATGTTTAATCTTTAATTTTGCTTTTGATGGTAAAAGTGAAGGACTGCCGATTGATACCATTAATAAAACACATTTTATACACATTTTTTTCTATTGTAGATATGAAAAAATTGATGCTTTATAATATAGCAAAAATATAGAACAACCTAACCTAAAGTATCTTAAATATAGAATAATATACTATATCTGGATCTAAACTCTAAAAGAATAACTGTTATTTGACATGCTTTCTGTCATTCTTTGGTGAAAGTAGCTCTTTTCAGCCAAGCAGTTAATTCTCACATTCTTTTGATGTTTGTTATGTGTTTGCCTTCTTATCCCCATCTGAAAATGTTTTAGTTTTGAGAAAGCAGATTTTATATATCTGGACTTTATAAAAAAAATAAAAAGAACGAGACTATATATACATTTATGTATTTCATTTCATTAAAAACAAAACGCGCATGATGGTACCTACCTATCACCATGAAAACAAGCTTTAAAACATAGGGAAAACGTTTTCTTGAATTAACCCAACAACCATTTTAATGTGAAAATTGTACTTTATGCAGGGTGAATCCTAAAATTCATACTTTGTTTTTGGGGGCTGATTCTTGCATCCATTTTAATAAACAAACACACCAACTATACTATCTAATTAAAAATATAATTTTGTTCTGGGGGATTTTCTCTAACATTGCTTACTTAAATAAGAAATTAATTTAGTTTTGTATGCCTAAATTTAACTGGTAAAAAACCATGAATAGAAAGTGGATTTTATTTTTGTTTTCAAAAACAAAGCAATACGATATGAAAAGAAGTTTAAAGAATATAGGTATATAGGTTACAAAAAAGTCAGTTTTATCTTAACTCCGTCCAGCAATCATTCCTTCAAAAAGGTATCAACTAAGCAATCGCCATAATATATATTTTATTTAATTATATTTCTTATACTCTATTTATATTACATTTACTTCCCATTTCTTTTTAAAAAACATCACATCTACTTACCAAATATTAATTTTAAAAATTACTCCTTTTTCTTCAAGCCCAACCGATTAAATTTCATTGCAAGTTCATTTGAAATTAGCGGCGTGAGAGCTTGTTTTACTCACAACTGCAGCCGCCGCCTGATCTTGCTATCTCATAGACCTAGCAAAATAATAAAAACAAGGCATGTAGACTACACAACAATGGTTCGTTCAGGTTAGAATGTATCAAATCTTATGTTATATATTACCAGAAAGCTTTACTGACATGAATTATTAGTGCTTCAGTAATAATAATACCACAAAACAATAACTGAAATGAAAGCACTGAAATCAGTAAGCACAGCACACAAAATACTCAAAATAGACGCCCGTAGATACTGTATACCGGCAACAAAAAAAAAGTCTGAAAATAGGACGGACGACGAGACGGAGGAGAAGCCGACGAGACTCGAGCGAGTTCGGTAGAGCAAGACCGCGAGTAGTTGCGTCATTGGTTGCAGCCGTCAGTGTTGTCAATTGGGATCTTATAAAGAAATATATTATTTTTCCGTTTGTGTATTTTTTTTTACTTAGATGAATCCGTATTTTCTGTGGTATTTTTATTAAAAAAGTGTCCAAAAATAATAAAACCAAGTTGATTTCAAAGAAAAAAAATGATAAAGACACGGTGTTGTCGAAACAATTGTTATGTATATATAATTTCGTGAAAATCTGAACTTTTAGTTCTTATTTATTTTGTGAAATGGATTTTCATCAAGTAAAAGCCACCTCAGTTCAATTGATTTTAAAGGTTTGATTCAGGTTTTTTTTAGGACTTGCCAACACCGACGTCGATGTAAATGTGCACAAAAACGTTGCCAAGAAAATGTCTCCCAAAACTTTCAAAAATTTTCCTTCTCCGTTGTTCGAAATCTAACTTTTTAGGTTTCATTTTGTTTTACGGTTCTTCATTTTCTTCCCTTGTTTCCATTCTAATGTTCCCATTATGGCGCAAGCAGATATCCTCAGGCCATCAAATTAGAGGATATCTGTGGTATATCGTGTACAGTAAATCCGCAAGCTATCCATTCAGGGGATATCCCTGGGATGTATGTTACAGTATATAAAAACACGATCTGCAATGTTTTTTTATGTCTCGCTTTATTTATTTATTTCCTATATGGGGCACTTGTAGCAAAATAAATTTTTACAGGATGCAAGGTTTAAAAAACAAAATAGCAAAAATATGATATGATCATCATCGACTAGGCTATACAAAGAATTAAGTACCTTTAAGTTGAGTTCACTTCTGCAAATTGAAAATCTAATCAAGTACAGAATTATGAGACGAGAATTATAAACAACATATATCAGATCAACAAAAGAACCAATTTAGAACTGCAAAATCCTATTGTTAATGCATGAAGAGCTTTTAAAGATCCCCTGCAAAAGTACTTAGTACTTAGTACTTAGTTTTCTGGCATACAGAAGTATAAATAATGGTATACATAAATCCTACATATACAACTGACCCAAAAGCATCAAACACATGTAATGATTTTTTTAATGGTCTATTTTAAGGATACGATTAAATTGAGGTTTGTTTATGAACATGTAATATTTTGGAAGACAAAACGGGGACCGAAAAAGTGTCAATTTTAGATAAAATTATTTAAATGTATCCTAATGTGCAGTGTATAGTGCATAGATCGCCGAGATATTGATTGCTGAGATGGCCATGTATGTATTGTCTTCTGGTCGAATAACACGAATGAAAGGTCAAGGTCTTGCGAGACTGAGTCAGTCAAGGAGTCAAAAGTGCATGCGACTACGAACACTGTCATCCAAGAGGGCACGTATTAGGCTTTGTACACGGCAGCACATGTAAGATGTATTTGGAAGATGTAGAAACTCCTAGTCATCTCCTAACCAACTGCAACAATAGGGGTCAATTTAATAGAAATCGACAAATTATCTAAACTTTCCATGGAAAAGATGTTTGTATTTTCTTCTAGGGAAAAAAAAATATGTCTACGCATATTAATAGCTATAGGATGGTAGAAGATAGGACACAATAAGAATATTGAAAAAGGAAGAAAAATAACTTTTTTACGAAAATATAAAATTACAAATAACAAAATTGCATGTAGCTGCTGCATATGTATCATACGCAGCTAATCCCTGCTGAAAACAATAGGTTGAGTCTAATTTTCGTTAATTAAAAGATTATAAATATTATGAAAAATAAAGGGATTCTAGGATATGCTACTCAGAACATTCGATTTATTAGAAAGGAAAGGTAAAGTTGCATCTCAAGAGAGAGATAATACTTCATTAGTCTGCTCAAATCTGAAGGGTAGACGGAGAACGCCACATGATCAATAATACTACCTTGACATTTATGTAAGTAGAGTAGGTATTGTTATCTTTTAGAAAATTGAGCAGAGTTGTCATTCAAGCGAAACTTTAATTTAACGTAACATATAGTGTCCAATGCTTTACTGTAATCGAGGAGTAACCCTTATCAGTGGCACGCAATATGTTGGCTCTGAAGACTGTTAGAGTAGACGGTAAAAGATTATTACTGTTAATAAAATTTTGGTGCTGCTCGTTCAACCTCGGAGCTCTTGTGAGCGATAATCCGTGGAATAGCCGATATTTGTGCTTACCTTGACCTCGACTCTTTCCAGCGTTTCACCTCAGAAGTTGTTCATTGGGTACATGTACTAATACTAATTTTGGTCGATGTTTACTATTCACATTATTATTGACATTATTTAAATGATGTCTATAGAAGCGGGCAAAGTAAATATAATGTCCGCCTCATATCTTCCGCAAAGTCCTGTTGCGACATTCTCGTCGCCTTTCTCCATTGTTAAATGGACGCGCATTTTCTACTTCGGCATGCGGCCTTACACTGCGCCATCAATCTCCTTTTACTTACGCCGTTTACTGTTTGTCGTCGATAAAGCAATAATAATATGGCCATGTATTTATTAATAACATTTAATTGGCTCGTAGAGATGACGGCCTTGGCATTAACATTCACAGCTCGCCAGTTATGTTCAGCTCGACATTCGTAGCGCACTTAAGGAACAATTTCCTGATTCTAAAACTGTTAGACATGGACGACTCGTGAGTTTTTTCTAACAAAAATCTCTTTGGCAAAGAAACTTTTTCTGGCTGTGAAAAGATAGTGCAAATAAAAATAAATGTAGCGTGGACTATCGGCATAAAAAGTTGATCCAATTCAATGTCGATAAAACGAAAATGTTCACTATTTTTCAGTGGCCGCGTTAATTGTTGATTATAGCTGCGAATTTGCGGAACGTATCTCAAGGCAATTATATTTTTCAGTTTTAACGAGCAAAAACTATATTGACTGTCAAACGAAATGCAAAACTATACGTAGGATTCTTCCACTAATATATTTTGAATAGGGCTAACATCAAAATGTATCCATTAAGTAACCATCATCCATAAAACTTACAAAGGTTGAATCGTCGTGGTTATGTGATAAATTGTTTGTTATAGTGATACACATTTTCATGGACTAAGTATTCATATACATATACATATACATAATAATAACAATATACAGACACGTCTATTTTATCTCTAAAATCTACGGATCTTTGTGTCTTAAAGGCTGTAATCGAAAAATAAAAGTAGACTTCCTGTATTAAAAGTGAATTCTTGCTTTTTGTTTCCTGCTTTAATACCGAATAAGATTTTTTCAGTGAATGGCAATTAAATATATATTAACTAATAATAAGTGAAATGAACTAATGCCTCAACTTTCAGAAAAAAAACATCGCGGTCTTTTATATAATTTTCTGATGGATACCACATATTCTGCAGTTACAGTCTTGCACTAGAAAAGAAGTTAGAATTATGAAATTTGGCAGATAGACGATTCTAATGAAGTGACAGGTTTGGATGTAATGCAGAGTACCCTATTTTTTTAAAAATAAAATTCGAATTCAATCTGCAACTTTTTCTAGTAAAATTGTTAACCTTAACAAAAAATGTTTTTCTTCTGCTTCTAGCTAACCACATTTTGCACAATTTGTTAAAATTTAAGTTCAAAGGGCTACTGTCGCTTGGTAAACAAGTTTTGAAACACCCTTTGAAACATTTGAGTATATGGTATTTATGGAACGTATTGTTATGAAATTGGACTTATTGTTCGTTGTGTTTAACCAAAGTCAGACAAACCCTTTACCCAAAAGTGTACTTGTTTTATGTTCCCCTGATGGTAATACGATCCAAACAATCAATTTTACGATGATGTGCGGTACATATCTTGTATATTAGATGATATTCTAATCACTGGTTGTTGTTGTTTGATGTTTTTCACTCTTTAATTTTTGCTTCTGTGATATTTTTTCTTTTAATAAACAGCAATTGCGATAGTTTTTTTCAACTACTCAAAAGTTTTAATTGCATTACCATCTACATAGATGTATTCCAACATTTGAATTTCGTTTCAAAAGATTTATAAGAGTTGTGAAATCAAGTGAAAATGAATTGCACACTTTTTTAAAATTTCCAATATATATTTTGGTTTCAAAATACCGATGAACAAAGAAACAATCTAAAAGTAGTATGACAATTGTTGCTATTTATAGCACATTTTTGCCAGAGTTCCCATGCAGCTTCGTTTCATAATGGAATGTCATCTCCGGAAACTACATTTGCGAGTTGTTAACCATTCCGACACATGTGAATAATAATTCGCCTTTATCACTTTTACTAAAGGAAATTCCACTTTAAATTAATGTGACATTTTAATACTAACACCAAATGTAGTAGAGCTTAGAAAAGAACCAATAAAGTATGATGTTTGTAGAGTTCGTTTGAAGTAAATATAATAATTTTCAGTTGACTTCCTAATATAAATATGGCTACTGAAATTATTACGTACAGAATATTAGAAGAAACATTAAAATAAATTTTCCACTCTTGGTTCTTTTTAGCTACTTAAGACAAATACTATTGTAATAAAAACTGTATTTTCACACTTTCAAAGTAACCAAGGAAAAAAGAATATTTACGGTATCACTACCAAGTTTTCACTGGAGTTGAGACTCAATACCGGCATAATCCTGATAATTTCATTAATCTGAAATTAATCGTTTGCTGTAGTCTTTTGGTTAAAACACCGAAACTAATTAAAAGTACGCCCCCAATCAATTCAGTTTCAACATGGAGTCCACAATGAAATCTCCGCTATCAACGACTTTGCACGCAAGGCGCAACAACTTGTTGCGATCCATAACAGGAGGAGGTTTGAAAAGTCGTCTTAGAATGGCAGACAGAAAACTTAAGTGTATATGAGCCGGCGAGAAGAAAAAAAACAAAGTTCGGGTCGAAGCATCCGATCATCAATTTA